CGTTAATAATCTCCAAATCTATCACTAACCCTAACCGACCTATAACCGTTTTAAAATGTGAAGTTGGCGGAATTATTTAAGCTGGCGGAAATTACCGAAACCTATACCATTGTGAAGCCCCTTAATTGATCTTCTATCCGGAAAGCAGCGGAATAAACCGTTACTGAGTTATGAGCAAAATAAGAAAGTCTTGGCACTTTGCCAAAACCGAAAATAAAAAAGAACAGGTTCTGTAACTTGGCAATTATGTAGTATTTAATATGTACGTTAATAATCTCCAAACCGCATATCTGTATCACTAACCGTAACCGAGATATAAAAGTTTCAAAAATGTGAAGTTGGCGGAATTATTTAAGCTGGTGGAACGATTTGAGGATCAATTACCGAAACCTATTTAATTGTGTAGCCCGATAATTCTTAAGCATGATATCTTTTTATTTTTTTTATATCAATGGAGCACTAAAAATGTAAGTTTCATATTTAATGCATCCATAATTTGTCAGATCTAAATTTGACCTTAAAATATTTATTGTTGATAACTCACTATCCTTTAATTTTTTGACATTCCGTTTAAAGAAAACGGAGGATCAATTAAGGCACAAAATATTAGCTTTAACTAAAAAATGATTGCTCAAATTTTAAATTTTGGCAAAATGACAAAAAATTTTTTTTATTTTGCCTATAACTCACGAAAGATTATGGAGGATAACAGGCTGCACATTGGCATAATTTTCGGTAATTAATCCTCACTTTCTAAAAATAATTTCACTATCTTCACCTTTTAAAAACGGTTACAACTCGGTTATGGTTAAAGATACTGATATCCGGTTTGAAGATTATTAACGTACATATTGAATACTACATAATTGCCAAGTTTCAGAACATGATATTTTTTATTTTCGGTTTCGACAAAGTGCCAACACTTTCTTATTTTGCTCATAACTCAGTAACGGTTTATTCGCTGCTTTCCAAATAGAAGATCAATTAATGGGCTACACAATGGTATAAATTTTGGTAATTGATCCTCAAGTCGTTCCGCCTCAAAATTCACACTTTCCTTATTTTGTTGATATCTCACTTTCCTTTAATTTTTCTGAAATTCCGTTTGAAGAATTTGGAGGATCAATTAAGGCACAAAATATTGGCTTTAACTAAAAAATGATTGCTCGAATTTTAAATTTTGGCAAAATGCCAAAATCTTTCTATTTTGCCTATAACTCACCAACGGTTTATTCCGCTGGTATGCGGTTTAAAGATTCTGGAGGTTGGTATTTGGTAATTGATCCTCACTTTTTAAAAAAACTTCGATAACTTCACGCTTTTAAAACGGTTATAACTTGCTTGCGGTTAGTGATACTGACAGCTTGATAATTATTAACATACATATTGAATACTACATAATTGTCACGTTTCAGGTCATTATCTTTTATATTTTCGGATCTGGCAAAGTGCCAACACTTTCTTATTTTGCTCATAACTCAGTGGTTTATTCCGCTGCTTTCCGGATAGAAGATCAATTTGGATCAATTAACGAGCTACACAATGGTATAGGTTTTGGTAATTGATCCTCAAATCGTTCCGCGAGCTTCAAAATTTAACACTTTCCTTATTTTGCTTATAACATATTAACCTTTGATTCTGCTGATGTTTGGTTTGATGATCAATTAAAACTCTAAATATTGGCCTAGGTTTTGTTATTGATCCTCGCATCGTTCCGCTAACTTCACGGACCTGTGTCAAGTCATCAAAATTAATAATATTATTTTATTGAATCATCGATATTAATATTGTTATCTTATTGAGTCATCTTATCGTTATCGATATTAATATTGTTATTTTAGTGAGTCATAATTATCGTAAAAAAATATTTTTATTTGAATATTAATAAATTTATATTTATTTGTTAAATTCTAAAAAATAAAAAAACCCTAAAAAGGAAATAATATTCATTAACCTTTTTTTCTTAATTAAATTAACTTTTCCTTATTTGTGAAATTTTATTTTATATTTTCGATTTATGATTTTGTGCAAATTATTCGAAAATAGAAAATCAATAAAAATTATTATTTATTTTGTAAAAATCTTGTATTTTTTTTTTGTTTCAATAAATAAATTTACTGTTGTTTTTGATGTATTCGCTTTTCTTTTATTATCGGGAGATTTAATAAAGAAAATAAAAGGTAATAAAAAGAATTAAAAGCTAAATAAGAAAAGCCAAACTAAGAAATAAATATTGTAATAATATCATTCTTTATATGAGTATAAATTATATTATATTAATCATTTATTTTAAGTATATACAATAAATATATAAAGATATAAATATTGAATGCCTTGAAAAACAAAAGATATATTTAACATTGTGACGCTTCGCATTCATATAATTTTTGATTATAAATTTTTATCCTTTTTGATTAGATCACCTATTAAAAATTTAATGTACATTAGCATAGATAATATATAAGATCAAAATTTTTATAACATGCCTAATATCTGGCCCGTTCTTTGCACAATAAAATTTTTAAAATATAATGGAAAGATATAATAATTTATATGACTTATTGATTATTAAATTGTATTGTTTTGTTTGTCGCATACCAGTTCTTAATTCCTGGTTTTTTGAGTCTGCAAAAATCTAATATTTAATATCTTTTAGAAAAATTGTATTAAATCTAATAATTAGTTACCTTTGAATATTTATTTTTATAAGAATTTCATAATAATAGATTAATGAAAGGAACTAATATACAGTTTATTTATTATAATGTTTAAAAAAATTATTCAAAAATTTTATATTATTTTTGTTATCTGCAAAACAAAAAGAAAAGAATTTTAAAACATCCAACTAGTCGTATTCAGATAGTGTTGATAAACGGTTTGATTTAGCCAATTTTAAAAACGATTAACTCAAAATATGGACAAGAGTAAATTACCCTTGCTTATTAATTTTTCCCACAGATATCAGAAAGGTTTGGACTTCTATTGGTTATATTTCATATGCATTAACATTTTGGTTAAAATTTTGATTTGGCCCTTTTTAAAAATCGACTAAATGGGGCTGTTTACCAACACTACATTCACACAAAAATTATGCAAATATTTTAAATAAGAATATTAACTTATGAAAAATAAAAAACACTTAATCTTTCGTGAAAGTTAGTTGGTTTATTTAAAGTCAAAAATATTGATATATTTATGACATTGATACAAAGATAGATAGTAAATAAAAATCAGTATAAATATTATATCGGTTTTTAGTAATATCGGATCGGTGAAAATTTGTGGATCGCCACAGCCCTAATTATTTTATATATAAATGGCATTTAATCTTTACAAAATAATGTCAGGTAATGTTTTCATATTTCATACAAATATTTTAAAAAAACTTTTTAACCCTTCTATACTCTGGTGGGGTATATGAGACCACAGGCCTAGAATTGATATTACATAAAAAAGGTTTATTATTATGATAATCTTCAGTAGCTTCATCAAATATATATTAGGATCTATATTCCAAATTTCATATATTTTGGTTAAGTAGCTTTTAAGATATAAGCATTTGACTGATTGAGGTTTGTGAGACTCTAGCAGAATATATGTAATTTTATGAATAAATTTTATATAAAATTATTAAAATGATCTCATTTTTCAAATTATTTTTTAACATTTATTATGACTTTCGGTGATTCTGAAAGTAAATATAATATCATTTAATATATATATTTGAGTTGAATATGAAAAAATAACATTATTTTCATATCCAACGAAAGAAAAGGATGTTATAATGCTATCAACTTTCCACCATAATTAAAATATTGATACAAATGATACAAACAAGCCTGGAATTATAACATTTTATAATATGACTAAAGGTAGGTTAGATATGGTGTATTGAATGACAAAAAATGATACAATTTTAATAAGGTCTTTTACAGACCACATAATATAGCAAACACAAAAATATCCAGAAGGAGTAAATTCATATATAAAATTATTAATAGAAGTTATTAAGCCATATTTACAAGTACAACAAAAATTATCAGATTGTTCTGACTTTTGAAGGAATCTATTTGCAATATATTAGGCAAAGTTCAAAATAGAAATCTTACCTACTCAAGGCGAAGGTGCATTATTTGTCCTAGCATTAAAGATAAAACAAAATATTTTTTCAAATATGGGAAAAAAATTATGTTTGGAGCATATTAATGCCATTGATTAATACTTTATGTGATAATCAAAATTAACATACAAGGTCTTATATTTTTTTTATGTTTGAATATATTAGTGTAAATCTTGTTTTATATTGAAGAATAAATATAAAAATAATGAATTAATGATATGTTAGAAAAAATATTTTTTCAATTTAATATTTAAAAAAAATTTTTTTTAATAAAATTTTGGCACAAATTATAATTATCCTCATTATTTTTAATCTAAGCATAATAAATTAAAATAAATATTACATTCAAGTTTAAGGTTTGTTCCATTTTATATCAAAATATTAAACCAAAATATTAATATAGAAGGAGATATAGCTTTTAATGTTTAAAAATGTAGAATTTATATTATTCATATATTTTTGATATAATTTTATATTAATTAATTATAAAAAATAATAAATAGAATATATTTGTGATAAGAAATATGGCTATTATATTCTATTTTATTTGTTTTATTACAATTATGAACACAGCAAACTCCCATTATCTAAATAAAATAATAAATGATTAGTCAGAGAATCATTTTTTAAGTGTAATCAGCTATTTCACCTTCATAAAAATTCATTAGACCAAGAAATAATTAAAACAAATAAAAATCTTATCATAATATTTAAAGAATAAAAGAAACTATAAAAATTGAATCCTTTCTAATTAAATTATCTTAGTAGACTTGTTTTAGCAATATTATATAATAATATTACTTGCTGACAAAAAATGGATAACCAAACCAAACTACAAAATGGCGCTACAGCTGATTACAATCACACCTATCCTCGGCCATTATGGATCGATTAAAAAATTGTATAAGGAAAGATTTTTTGGATATAATTAAACAATTTATGAATCAGATGAACATAAGATTCGCAATATTTTTACAGTTATGGAATGATAGAAAGTTTTATAAAATTTTCGATGGAAGAGAAGTGAAATCATTTATATACGAAATAAAATAACATTAAATTGTTTAGAGTTTGAGAGAGAAGCTTAAATTTATTGAAGAATGTCTTAAAATTTCATTGGAATTTTTTCTTAATCAAGGTAACTTTCAAACTCAAATTTCTGGACTCTATTTATCATATTGTTTGTACAATTGTCAAACACAAACGCCAAAATTAAAGGCATGAACAAATAATTTACATAATATAATATGATTCAAATTTTTTGCCTAGTAATATGACTAGAATTGGTTTAAATACCCATTTTTTATTATACTAAAATTATATCTAGTTAGTAATTCAAATAAATTAATTACTTCCATATTATAAAATCAATCATAGATAATAATTTTACTAAGAGTACCAAACATAATATATTATATGAGTGAATAACAAATTTACTCACTTTCTCATTAAATAATACTCTGATTTATGTTAAACATTTTACAAATTAAATTGCTTGTTTAAATTTTTATTTCCTTTTTAGATTTTTTTATCACTTTTAAATTTAAATTATATTATTTAATTCTTTATCATCTTTGATATAAATACTAGTGATCTGCATTAAGCCTAATTTTTCAAATCCAGCCCAGCCCAAAATTTTTTTTTTAAAAAAGTTTTGCCAACTTTGTTTGAACCCTAAATTTTTTTAAAAAGTTTTGCTGGCCCAAACTAGCAATTTTTTTTAAAAAAAATTTATTGGCCAACCTGGCCCAAATTTATTTAAATATAGAAATTAATTTTTATAATTACTCAAAATAAAAGACATATGTTATATGGCATCTAGTTTCTATAAATAAAATCAAATATTTTTATTTTACATAAAAAATTCAATATAAAATTGATAAGTTTAGATATATTTAAAAAAAATTTCTAAGGCCCGACCAAACCTGGCCCAATTTTTTCAAAAAATATTAGACCTGACCTGGCCTGAACCCGATTTTTTTAAAAATAGTTTGGGCCAGGTATGTTTTGCAGATCTCTAATAAATACTGTTGACTTATAAAATCAATCTTAAATAACTTTAATTTGGGGAAAACGTTTAATTGTTGCTATCAAAATAGGGATCATAGCCACATTATTGCAATATTCTAATTCATATCTTTCTTTATAAAATTAAATGGGTGACATTTTTGAGACAAAAAGGTTAAAATTTATTTATTTATCAGTAAGTTCATTTCTAAAATGTACCTCTAAATTGACGGCATTTTCTAAAATAATTATTATATTATAAATTTGGTATTTTTAAGTGGAATAGAATTTCTTGTAGTATTCATATGAGAATAAATATTTTACTTTGAATTTTTAATTGGTTTTATAATATTAATAGTTAACAAAATATATAATCACACATTCTTCTTTTTTTTAATATATTTTTTTGGAATGTAAGATCAATTTTTATGGAAAATTTGGAAGCTTCTTAAATTATTTCTTCGAAACAATTATAGTTTATCATTACAAAAAAGAAACACTTGCTGTATGTTTGACATTTTTGTCATATTTTTTGTAGGTATTACTTTAATTTTTTCCTTATATTCCATGATGATTATTGAACAAATAAAATTTTTTTACACAATTCCTCACTTTCTTACAGAAACAATATTTTTGTCACAAATATTCAAGATATGGAGGAAATAAAAAAATAATTAGATTTAAACTATCAATTAATAAAATAAATTATTGATTTAAAACACTTTTTTGGAGGTAGTTAATAAAGGTGGGCGCGGGCCTAATTTTTTCTGCGGCTATAAAAATATTTACGCCTATTCACGCTTACAACTAAAAAATTTTCGACCCGACCCTCCCGCTCACGAAAGGCAATATTTTGATTAACGCCCGAAAATACGGTGTTTTTAAACTTTTCAAAATTATTGCTATAATTTACACTTTTTTGAATTTATTCTATTTATTTTTCTAATTTCATAATCCATATTAATAACAAAAAATAAATATAATCTACAAATCGAAATTTTTATTTAGAAAAAGAAGAATGTCCATCTTTTTTTATTTCAATTGTGTACGCCTCTCCTATAATAAGAGATTGGCTACAGAAAATAACCTTTCACTAAAAGCCAAACTGGCCGGAGCTGACAAAATTTTACTCGTTAATTTTCTCTAAAGAGGAAATGAATATTCCTGCTTCCAAAACTTCAAAATATTGTCTTGTTATTTGTCTTATGAGCGATGAATCTTTTAAGTTCATCCTCACATCTTTCATCGGTAGATGTTGATGCTTCATCAGAATCCTCGAAAAATTCTCTAAATTTTTCATTTAGAATATACGGTTTTTTATGAGTGTAGGATGAATTAAGAAAGTTATAAATAATAGTTGGCATTGACTATCTAGAATATTTGGGAAGGACCATCACGCCCAGTCACGCCTAATTATTTAAAATTTATTCACACTCGACCCGCCCCCACCTCTACTAGTTAGATCAAGAATTGAATCTATTAAATTTTTTAAACCATACTCCAACAATTTTTACTGTCTATTTTAACATTATAATATGAGAAAATTCCTAACATATATTCTCTCTTTGTTTCTGTTAAAGATATTTATCCATATATTTATTACACAGTATTTTATTCTTAGAATTATCATCTTTTATTTATTTTTTTAAGTCATTCATTTTGTTTAATACTTTTAGTTATAATAAATTTGGAATGACTTTTTATTTTTGTTAACTAAACTATATAATTCGGGCTCAGCCGATATTAAATAAAGAATTAGGACCGATTCCGATATTTTTTAAAAAATAGATCCTATATTTTATTGTTTTTAGTTATATTATTATTGTGTAATTAATATCTTTAATTTTATACATAATTTCATAATAATAAATTGAAAGAACCAAAATTCAATTTATTTGTAATGTTTAAAAAAAATCGGATTTTTTTAATGGATAGAGTAGCTAAAATTTGTTTTTTCTTTTGTTATATTATCTGCAATGCACGGGTTCCCCTAAGCCTGACCGAGCCTCAGGCATTCAGGAGTTTTTTCTCGGACTCAGGTCGGGCTTTAATAAGTAGTCTGATCCTAGATTGATAATAGCCTATTTATGGGGGTTAAATATACTTTTATTTAAGTTGGCAATAATATGAATAAATACACATAATTTTTCCTTATATATTATAATATTTAAACTCAAATTCCAAAATAATTTTAATAAAAAAATTATTTGTAGGGCTTTAACTGCGACAAGAAAAGGATTTTAAAATGTCTAACGAGTTACATTAAGCTAGTGTTGTTTTAAACGACTCAGTTTAGCCGATTTTTAATTTATAACTCAAGATTTTAGACAAAAGTAAATTATCCAACTTGAAAATTTTGCCTACATTGGCAGAAAGGTTTGAACACTACTGTCGATTTTAAGACTCAGATAATATTTTAATTAAAATCTTGATTTAGATGTTTTTAAAAATTGTTCAGCCATAATATTGGCAATATTTTAAATAAGATAATTAACCTTTTAGAATAAAAAACAAAATACTTTTAATCATTCGTTTAGTTGGCTTTGTTTTGAATGGAAAATGATGATTTTTTTATAACAGATTCTAAGATAGATGGTAAATAAAATCAATTTAATTATTGGTTATCAAATCTGTTTTATAGTAAAATTGGATCGGACTGGTGAAAAATTTGATAATATTTGTTCATTCCCAAATTTTACTTTAAAAAAATATGAGTTAAATAATAAAAATCAATTTTTTAAAAATGTGTCTTCATTTTGATTTTATAAAATTATTTCCCCAAAATTATAATAAATTATTATTATTAGCTTTTACAAACTAGGGTAAAATATTTATTATATCCATTTTTTTTCAAATTAGCTTAGATTTACTTTACAACATATGCAAATTTTACCAAATTTTATTGAAAAATTAGTAACTCAACATCATCACGATACATTATATATATTGTATCAATTATTCAGTACAGGCGCTATAGATTTTGTTTTTTTAACTGATGAAGTTCAATAATATTTAAATACTATTTTTTAATTAATATTTTGTAGGTTCATTATCATTCTCATAAAAAATACACAGACGATATAGATAATCAAAATTTGGAGGATATACAAATGAGTCAAACCTTTAAACCATTTCTTGAAAATATTAAAGTTAACACTATAATGATTTTATTAATATTGTTTTAAAAAAGGATTTATCAACTATACACGAGCAACATTTTAATAATACTCAATTAATATTTAATAATTTTCCTGAAGTGACTTCATTTATACATCTATTTAATTCCAATTTCATCGAATCATATAAAGGAATTATTTTCGATGGGATTAAAAAGTTGGAAGAAGTAAATAATCAGGTAAAATAAAATATAGATGTAAATTTTTATTAAATTACTTATTACCTTTTGATTACCGATTTGCCAACCAAATTTGTCTGCCCTTTTGCTGAATAAATTGGCTTGCTAAGCGATTGGTTTCAATGAAACACGATCTCTATTTTTTTTAAAAAACGGCATCGAAACTTTAAAAAAAACCCCTATAGAAAAAATACGCATTTTTCCAATTCATTTTGGTTTCTTATGTGTTGCAACTGATGCAAATTATAATTTCGTTTACCCATTCTTAATGCCTGAGGAATCGAGACTAATATTTTCTAAATTTGTAATAACATTTTTCAAAATAATATCTCTTCCACATCTTTCATTAAAAATATGTTTATCTTAACTAAACAATCACTCCACAGGAACACTTATTAGAATGTGGATGTGATAGTATAGATTTTGAAAATTAATAAAGATTTCAATTTATTTTGTAATATATTTTAAAAATAAATTTTTTTCAAAAGGATCGATCAATTCAGTAGTAAAAAAATGGTCCTGATCCTCATTTGTCAAAAATTTACCGGTCCAGCTCAGCGCCTTTATAATTTAAAATAAGGGGCCAGGTCGCGTATTTACAAAACATAAGTGTTACTATACTAGAAAATGACCACTATTTTCTTCAATTATTTTAGAGATTGATGATCACATATATAATTTATAAATAAAACAAGTACAAATTTTTTTTACAAACAAATGCATTATGTAATTTTTTTTATTTTATGAAGAATAATTTTATTACTACACCTATAATTTAAAAACATAATAATATAAAAATTTTGTTATAAATGGATAAAAATGACCAATTATTTTTTAATTGGGTTCCAAAAAAGGAGCTCTAATTATATTTGAACATATACATTTGCATTTTTTGCCATAAAAAAAATTCTATATTTTTGCACATAAAAGTTTTAAAAATTTGTTTGCAAAGGGGAAAAGTGAACATGTAGTTTTATAATCTTTATTTTCCTTGTTTCGACTGTTGGTAAAGAGTTGGAATTTTTAATTGAAGGGAAGGAGACACATGTGAATCTTAAAAGATTTATTTGGCTCCCAGGGGATTGTAGACAATCCGCATAGCCTCAGACTAGCCTCTGATGGTAAATTGGTAGGTTCAAGAATTTTTGGGATGTGAGCACCCTTTAAGCCAACTTATACTATTAATTTGAAGTTGGTGTCGACCTTAACTAACAGTTGAGTCCATGCTTCCCCATAGAGATGACCAAAGTGTTGCAATCAAATTATGTGGCTGGACAATGTCACAACCTAGTCGTTACCTATTGCTATTCTCAATTGTTCATTTGATAAGAGATTACTAAGGTTTTGGCAAGGGAGGACCTCACCATTCATGACCACCTAGTCTGTAGTCAAAGGGGAGGAGTTACGTCGAATCGAAGAGAGGATTTGATAGTATGTCGGTAGGTTTATAAGGATTTGGGAATTTTTTTATGGTTAATAACTGATTGATATGGAGGATCTACTGTGACACTTTCTTACTATGTATTAATTGCATAGAATATAATCATATATATAACAGAATAAAGGATAGCAATTTAAGCCTAAGTAAATATCAGCGACATGATAGATTGATAAACTTACCTTTTTATATTACAGAAAATAAAAATCGAAATTTTTAAATATGATTACGGTTCCTTTAGAACACAATTGTTAAATCCATAATTATTTATACAACTTTTTAATATTTTTTTACATGCTATTTTTATAATTTTAAATTAGGATACGAATAAAAAAAAATAGTTTATGAATAATAAAACAATAAGGGTTAAGAATGCTTATGATGATTAAATTAAAATACAATATATAGGTATTTCAGACCTGTATACACTCTCAATAAAGATATTTTCTACCAAACATCGTAGTCCATATCGGATTGATAATCTTAAAAAATAAAACTTGTCCTATCTTGCATATGGTAAATAAGCTAGTTCATATCTTTTGTAAATACGCGGGTCGGCATGAAAATTATTATTTTATATTCATAATTAAATCTTTTTATATTTTATTTCTATAATAGGTATCAGAAAATAAAAAACCCAAGGCTTCCTAAATTCAATACCTGAAAGCCAGCTAATATAATAAATTTACAGTTTTTAGATAAAAATGATTGTTTTTACACTAAATTTCGTTTTTTATAATATTAAAAAAAATTTAATATGAGGTAATATCCTAATACCTAAAATTTAAGTTGATGGGAATTATGGATCTGCAAGGCAAATTTTCAACTAGACCAAAGGGATAAACCAACCCGAACATAAAATCAAAATATTTATTTTTCTGGTAAGGAATGAACAAAATTGTAAAATAATATAATATTTAATTAAACCATGATAAAATTCAAAATAATAACATTAATATTTCCAAAACCAATCTGACTAGCTTGAAAGAAATCCTCTGACAAGATCTAACCTGAAATAAAATTTTTACATAACCAGATTCAACCCACTGGTCGGTGTGTTCGGAAAAGATCACTCGTGAATTTTTTTTAAAAACTTTAATATTGACTAAAAAATTCAAATGATATTATTTTATCTAATTTATAATTTTAGAAGACAGGTGTAATCTGTCTATTTTTATTTTTATCAGGATATGTAATTTTCTTTCGAAATAAATAATATTTCAATATTTTTAGAATATCTGAAAATATATTAAGGTTGTGACCTAGGTCAATTTGGATACTTAATTGTTTTTTAGTATAGGCTAAAACGTTTTTGAACAAGGACATCCTATATTTGTTTGTTTTAAGTATTTTGTGGCATTATTATTGTTGTATATGTTAATTTATAATTGGCATTTATGGACGTTTTGTAATTATATTTTCGATGTGAACATTTTTTTTACTATGTTATTGTTATGGAATTCATAAAAATATAACATGGGTTTTAGAATATGATATGGTATGTGACAGTTATTTTTCGTATTCTATTCTCGTTTTTTTGGGTGTTTATTCGTTTTTTTGAAATTTTTTCTTTTGCCTTTTTGGTGATTTAGCCGATACTAAATAGCAGCCGACCTAGAATATGTCCTAAAAACTGATATCTTTTACAAAAAAAACCATCATTTATTTTCATTTTTCAGAAAATAAAGTAAAAAGGATAATATAATTTTTTTCAAATAAAATTTTCTCTTCTATCTCATATTAAAATTAAATTGTAAACAAATCCACTTAACTTTAAGCAGAAAAAAAGAAGGTATTAGGTATAAAAAGATATAAATCCATAGTAGACCTTTAAACAGAGATCCGATGCATATATCGCATAGGGCGATACCTTTTATTTTTCAGAAGTTATTTGAATAATTTTTCGATGAAATTAGTTTAAAAAAATTTATTTTTCTTGGAAAATAAATAGTTTTAAAATCTATAGTGTTTTTTATTTTATAATAATTTAAGTTTTGTTTTTTTAGATACACATTTTATTTTTTGTAAATCTTTTCTTCCTCTTCTAAGAAATTTTATTGTATATTTTCCGCCATGACTGAAACCTTTTTAAAGTAAGAAACTTATTTACAATCTAAAAAAAAATAAGTAGGGCTGTACCGATATCTACCATTTAAAAAAAACGATCCGATATGTTCCTGGTTATTTTATGAATGTACAATAAATATATTTTTTATTTTATACATAATTTCTTAATAATAAATAAATAGAACCGAAATTCAATATTTGTAAAGTTTTTAAAAAAAAAATCAATTTAAAAAAAAGGTACCTAAAAATTGATTATATTTGCACTAGATTTAAAAATATTTAATGAGGCAAACTTTTACCCATGTAAGTGAAATGATTAACAATTGAGAAATAAAAAAATAATCATGATAATCCACTAAATTTCACTTGACCATGAGAAATGCAAAATTTCGAAGTGTTTGGTTTATAGTGTACAGATAGTTAATTTTTTTCCATAGAAAATCAGGGATCCAAACCAAAAGCAAAAACGGTTCGGATTAAGGTTCAGAAAAGCAATTCAAGGTTCAAGAAAAGAATATTTTTTAAAATTTTATCGCCATTCTTTAATAAATAATATTGTGCCATGCAATTTAAATATTTTCAAGATTCTCTTCTGTCAAATTATATCTATATGAAGTAAAAATAAATTTTTATAACTCAAGAAAATTTAAATATAATTATTGATTATCGGTGCTGTAAACATTACTTCAAAAAATAAATGTGTTATTCGTTACATTAAAAAAAGGAACGCTTAACCTGTACTCGTTACCTTAAAAAAGGCTATTCATAAGTATGCGTTACTCGTTACTTGAAAAATTAAAAAAATTCCTATATAATATAAATAACATTATACAAAATAAGATGTTATAAGATAATATATTTTTTTTATTTATAACAATTTATTTTCAAAATTTTGATAGATAAACAAGAGTGCTCAACATATCACGTAAAACAGGTTAAAAAAATTGTCCTTATTTTGAAAAAGCTTAATAGATCTCTTCGAGAATCTTCATTTAGATCCTCATCATTTTTTAAAATCTTTATCAGAAAATAATCTGGTATGTGGTGTTTTTTAATGTAATCAAACTATTTTTAAATCAAGATAATTTCTCACAATGGAAATAAGTTCAAGCTTTCTACCTTCGTTGATCCATAATTTTCAAGGCTAATCAAATTTAAATAGCGAGTGAATACTCCTGATAATATATATTCATCTTGAAAGATATGTTAGAATCTATAAAAAATGAATATAAATTCGAAACAATATTATAACTGTAATACTTATCAATGTCTTGCAGGACATTTGGCTTACAAAACTCGAAATTATTTAAAGCAATTTTAGTTTTAATATAATAGTTGTGGGAGTGAGATATTCCAAATGTTCTAAAATCGTAAGAGCTGTAACACATACATATATTTTATAATTAACGCCAACTATACAATATATCTAAGAACGACTTGTATTATCTGAAAATCTCTGCAATTATCACAAGATTCGTCAAATTGTTCATTCTCCTTAATGAGACTACTAATTTCACGGAGTAATAAGTTATAACCGGTTTAATTAGATATCTCACCTATTTAATAATGTGCAGTTTCGAGACTGCCCATTCTTATTCCATATTGAGTTGGGACACAATTTTACATTATTATAATAAAACCCCTATAAGCAAATTTTGTAGATTTGTACCCTTCATTTTTATTTTGAAATTAAAAATAAAGGAATTTAGTGGTCGATCTGACTTAAAAATTCGGCTTAATAATTAAATAAAAATAATTTTATAATACAGTAAAATGTTTTTCCCATATTTTATAAGAAAAAATTCAAAGTAACCAGTAACGTTGTGTTATCGTTACTCAAAAAAAGAAACGCTTACGCGTTACCCCTAGAAGAAGGTAACGAATGATCCTTTTCTTCAAAAAAGGTAACGACGTTCTTTTTTGACGTTACTTTATAGAATTAGTCAAAACATCTTTAATCAGTTAAAATACAATAGGTTCAAACCTGTTCACAGGGTTAGAGGTTCTGTTCAGATGAAATTTTTTTTAACTCTTAACAGTTAGGTTAGAGTTTTCATGGAAAATATTTTTCATATGTATTAAGATTGATTTTTTCGCTCAAATATATGCTACTATGATATTTATATATACAGTTGTTGCAAATATTTATTTTAAACTTATTGCAAATATATATATTTTAATGTTAATTCAAATAAAACTGTATAATATTGGAGTTTTTTTTGTCTAGAAGATTGTGATAATAAGGGAAGGGTATTAGATAATTTATTTTTTATTTAATTATATATGCATGCATCCTATTGTAAAATTTGGAAAACACTTTAGATCATAGAATTTATCTATTTTTTTAGAAGGCAAAAAAATCCTGAACAATTAAATTAGCCTATAGAATGAAGTTTATATGATTAATTTTTGTTCAAGGAAATGATATTTGATATCTATATTATAATATTTTGTTTTTCTTTCATAGTCTTTGTTTTTTCTTATTACTAAGTAATGATGACTAATTTAGCATTTTATACAAAAATTATTTAATTCCAAAAGAATCTAAATCTTTGTCTTTCCTTATACTAAGTTTTATGCTCTAATTTAGTAAAATTTAAAAAAAATACATTTATAACTTATGAAATTCCAGAGTATAAATTTTGCCAGCAACTTGAGGGCAAAAAATATTGTGCTAAATTTGGGAAATATAATATTAAAAAATAGGTTTATTACTTGAATTTGGTTACAAAATTATAAAACCTAGTAATGTAACAATTTATGAAAAGAAAATCGATTTGGACATATCTTTTGCGAACACAATCAGACATTTAAATAAAATTTTTAAATTAATTTAGCACATAGTCCATTGGAACCAAGGTTTACGTCTCGAGGGATTATACATGTGTAGATCGTTTTGCCAGAACTTTGTTAGCTCCATCACTAAAGCTGAAAATACAAAAATAAATATATCCACCTTAATAATCTTATGTTTGTTCGGGTAGTCTCAGACCCCTGTGGATTATTTGGACTCCAAACCCTAAAATTATTCAAAATTAGGGCAAAGATTACGTTTAATCACTGGTGATCCAAAAGGCTTCTACCTACGACAAAGAATATCAATAAATTTGTCGTTCCAACCGTATATCTATACATGGGTCATTAAGCCCCGCTGACCAAACCTAAAATATATTTTTTATTTCTCTTCTTTTAATTATATATTTTTATAAAGTTATAATAGTACATTAATTATAATTTTAATATTCTTTAATAAATCAATTTACATATTAAAAATAAAATTAAATATTTGAATATATTAGATTTATACATATATATATTTTTAGAAGTAACTAGTTACTTTTGACAGTTACATTTCAAAAAATATAACTAGTTACAATTATTTTTTAGCAAAAATGTAACTAGTTGATAAATAATAAAAATGCCGATGCACTCTCTTGCTTACCGTTACCCGAAACTATTTCCGTTAACAAAAACGATAGTGATTTAAAACATTTGATAATCAATCAAATACATCAATTACCTTTTAATTCCAAAAACTTGACTCAGGAAACACAAAACGATCCAATCCTATCGCAAATCGTAAAATATTTAACCACCGAACGGCCAGATAGAATAATAAATATTAACATATTACCTTATCAACGTCTAAAACATGAACTCACAATTGAAAACTCCATTTTTTAAGAAATACCGCATAGTAATTCCTCAGACCCTCAAACGGAGATTCTCACCGAATTACATCGAGGGCACGCTAGTATAATTCAGATGAAAGATGCAGTCCGTGCCTATGTATGGTGGCCCTCTATTAATAAAGATATTCATTCTGCGTATGAACTATGTCGCCATTGCAATATATACAAGGAAAACACACTTCGGATAAAAGACTCCCCTTGGCCAAGTGCACAGAAAGTCGCTGAAAAAATCCACATAGATATAGCTGGTCCTATATTCAATAAATACTGGTTAATCATCATCGACACCTTTTCTAAATGGGCCGACGTCACCAACCTTCCATCGATCTCATCCATCAATGTCATTAAAGCCTTAACCAATACATGTAAATATACTGGTTTTCCTGCTACCAGTATCCGACAACGGCATTCAATTTACTAGAGAAAATTTACAAGTGTTCTGCAAAAAAATCACATTAAGCATCTTACCACAGCACTCTACATGCCGCAGAGCAATGGCCGAAAGATTCGTTCGAACCTTCAAAAACGCTATGCAAGGTATGAACCCTCTTTAACAAATTTTTTACATAATTTTAACAACACAAAACACACCACAACTAAGTTGGCCCCAGCAATAGTATTTTTAGGTCGACGACTCCGAAACCCTTTAGACCGTCTAAACGAACAATTTAAGCCCGAAACAGCCAGAACTAACCGCCCAAAAGAAACCGATACGAAAAGAAGCAAAAATGTGGGTCCGCACCCATAAAAAATCTCTTCGATGGAAAAGGGGGTTGACGAAAAACACCTTAGGTAATCGCTTGTATCAAATCAAAACAGAACAAGTACAATTTTTCCACGATAAGCAAATCAGAAAAAGAAGATCCCTCGAAAAATCAAATCACTAATTTTAAATATATTTTTTATCTCTTTTTTTGTCATTTTTTTACTATCCCTTGAATAATCAAATGCGAACTTTAAATATATATATATTTTTTTCTTCTTTTTTAATATACCCCCCCCCCCCCCGTTACTTATTTAGGAAGGGAGGAGTGGGAATTTATTTATAGCTTAGGTATATAATATTTTTAAAGGTGTTTTATTAGTTTATTCTGGTATTTTAATTATTTATTTTTTTTGGCATTAAACCTTTCAGTTAGTTTTATCTTGGTAATTAGTTTATTTTTGAGCGTTTTCGGAACTCAATAATCATAGGATTTTTCTTTTCAAAAGTAATCGAAACCGGGACTATCTCCCCCCCCCCCCGTTGCCTATTTAATGAGGGAGGAGTGTTATAAACTTCCATTAAAAATAGTTTGCTCTTATCCCTCTATGGTTGTCTTCAATACCTAAAAATTAAATAAAGTTTTTTTTTGCCCTTCCTTTGTCTTGTCGTAAATACATAAAAATTAAATTAAGTTTTCTTTTGTTTTGATTTAAATACTTTTAAGGTCAACATATAGTTTTTGTGTTTTCTTTTTACTTAGGGTTTACTTACTTTTGGAGTCTTTAAAAGGGTGTTCGGCAAATATAAGTTAGATATTTAGGTCCGGGAGATCGCCCTGCATCCAGTGGTATAATTAGAGATCCGGAAAGTATAGGGGGGGGATAGGTTTTACCCCTAATTATGTAAGATAAAACTAACACAACTCCGTTTTGCAAAAACGTTTTTTTTTTTCACTTTGGGCCAATTTTATTTTATATTGTGCTTTTTATTTTCCCTATATAAGAGACAAATTTTTATTTAAAGACACACTTTATTTTTTTTGGTTTTAAAATTTGCTTTAAATTATAATTTATAATTAATTATTTTCTTTTTTTAAATAAAATTTAAAATATAATTGCTGTAGTTGCTTTTATTAATCTAAAATGACGCATACCAATCATCGAGACGTGCCACCAACCATTCAACCCATAACGGAAGCCCCGACACTAGTTAATTTTAACTAGTTACTTTAGCAACACTAGATAAATGGTAAACAAAAATTATTCTAAATATCGAATCGGTATTGGATAAATCAGATTGGAAATTTTTTGAATCGATAATTTTTATTTTATCATAATGTTATTGCATATAGTCTTAATTAAAATTTTTTATCCCCCCAATTGCTTCTTTATTTGAGTAAATCAGTAAACGAATTGAAGCAATAAATGGTTATTGCCTTTTTTATATATATAATAAGCATCAGCGATATCAGCCAGATTACCGGCAATATTTCGGTATAAAAGTGGTATCTGTGCTCTGGCTTTAATCAATCTTAAAATATTTCAAAAAAACTATAAAAATTAATTTATATGAGAGACCTGCAGAGGTACCATTTGCATAACCCGACCCAGATTTTTCTTTTTAAAAATTAATTTTTCGGCTTGGCTGAGATTTTTTTAAAAATATATTCTACTTATTTTTAATTTTTATAGCTTATAATGGCGATTTAAAATATACGGCTCGGCCCGGGTATTTAAAAAAATTAAAGTAAGGCCCGCCCGTGTACCCGGGCCTGCAGGTTTCTGATTTTTGTTAAGATCAAATCCTCCAGTTAACTTAATTTAAACTCATTAAATAAGTAATGTTAAACGGGGCCAATTAGTAATTTTCTTAATAAAGCACAAATTTTATTAAATGCAATAAACATTTAAAAAATATTTTTTCCCACCCTGGTTTTATTATAGTGATTCATCAATCAGCGTGAGCCACATGTTTCTCGAGAAAAATAGAATTTATTACTATGCATCATAACCTCTGTAGCAGTGGCGATCCAGACAAACAAATGTAAATTCAGATTTTTTAAATAGCACCATAAATAATATGATAAATTATTTTTTTATATATCATCAGTTATAATTAAAGCAATATATCAAGTGCAATTTATGTAATAATAAATTGAGATTATATTCTGGCTATTTTAAAGTAGATGATCAGTCAATGAAAAAATCGGGCATAAGTTGAGACTCTTATAAATATCAAATAAAAAAAAATATATTAAAATTTATGAACAAATTCAACTTATCTTTTCAGGAGGACAATAAGAATATTTAGTAAATGAATCAATTCCCTCGTCTTTCAAAACTTGTTCATCAATATAAAAGATCCCGGAAGATTTAGATTTTGGGTTTAGTATTAAATAAGCAGCATCTGCCATAATAGATGGTTTTCGACATAATTCTTTACAATCTTTACCAGCTAACAGTTCCATAGCAGCAGTATAAATGGCTAAATATTAATTTTTTTTCAAATTTAATTTTACAAAATCCTAGGATATTATAAAAATTACATTGAAATAAAAATGTAAAGAATTATATCAACCTGTTATAATAACTTTTGATCGAATAGCTAAATCGTATAAAATGGTACATTAATAAATAATTATTTACAAACAAAGTAATAAAATTAGGTTACCTATTTTACAAATAATTAAGTCCTATTTCAACTAAGAAAATATTTTCCTCTTTATATTTCATGGAATGATTGGATATAAAAAATTACGTAAATATGCTAACCCGGGCGTCTACTAGCCTTTACAATCCCAGGAGGCTCAAAAAAAATTTCTAGTATTATCTAAAATTGCCATTTTTTTCTTTTAGCTAACATAATCCTAAATTACCTTTTATTATTTGTGGTATAAAAAAAATAAGATTTTCAGGGGGTTTGATCCCCTGCACTCCCATCCCCTAGTGACGCTATTGATGATAACTAAATTTGCTGAAAGAAATATGGCGTAAATTTAGATATATTATTATCTTGCTTAAAGTTCTGCAGGGCCGGCGGTAACATTATCAATAAATAAAGATCCATCCCGTAGCTCCAAAATTTTTATGTTCTGCCTTTTTTTTACCTGATTAAATATCACAATTATAAAAAGAATTTAAAAAAATACCAGAAAGTGGAAAATTTTATTATTCATTTTCTCATATTTTGTAATAGATTTAAATTGATAACATAAAATTATCAAGTTATTACTGAATATTTAAATAAAGTTATTACAAAATATTTATAACAACATTAAAAAAGAAAATAAATATTTTGAGTATGAAATTTCTTGCCTATAAAAATTTGGGGTAAGGGATAGCCTTAGATTTAAAAAAACTACACCGGGTCACGGGCGAGTATGGGCTGAAAATGTTTGATTTTGTAGGTCTCTAATCTGGCGTATGTATGCAAATGCTTAAGGCAATGAAAAAAATGATCCTCACAAAGTCAATTTGAGAATTTTTATTGATAAAACGATTCTACATGTAGAAAGTTAAGAATTTAGTGATAGATGATATTTAATTGAGAGGATGTCTGAATATAGGCTTTCAAACCTTAATAAAATAACATCTATGTAAAATTCTAAAAATGGTAGAACTGTCTCAATAAGTACAAACAAAAGATTGCATGCGATGCATTATTTTCAAACAAAAAGTATTTCATTTTTATAACCACTATCGGTTTTCCCTTAATATTCTGTTCCTCAATTAGATTTCTATATCATAAAGAGCAATATGCCATTTGAATCTAATAAAATAAATATTTTAACTCAATTACTTATACAGAAATATTTGTATTCAAAAATTCGGCATATAATTTTAAAATATCCAGAGTCAGATTTTAAAAAAACTTTTTGTTTTGGAATTCACCATAGAGATTATATAATATGTTCAAATTAAAAGGAAAAATTATACTATATTTATATTTTTTAATAATTTGAATGTACTATTATCATCTTGATTTAGTTATGTAATTGCATAGGCGTAGCCAGGATTTTCATAAGGGGGGGGAATTAAAAAATTACTGGGGGCTTCACCCCCAGACCCCATTTTGGGCGGGCCTTCGGCCGGGTTACTTTAGTCTATATATAGTCATAAATATTTTTACAAATTTTAATATAAGCCTGGAACAAATATGAAATATATTTTTTATTAGTTTATATGAAATATATTTTTATTAGTTTATATGAAATATATTTTTATTAGTTTATATGAAATATATTTTTATTAGTTTATGTAAAATAAAAATATAATAAATTACTTGTATTGTATATACCTTAATATAAAAGCATGGTAATAATTTATTCCAAACAATTATAAGTAATTTATTTATAAAAAGTAAGTAGACATATAGTTGATTTTACTCTATTATATAGAATTAGTTATAAAATACTAGGTAAAATTCCACTTTTACAGACATATTTGACAGTTAGAGAATATATTACAGTTAATAATTTAACAAATTTTACTAATCAATGCTCTTGATATTAAATATGCAACAATTTGTATTCAATTATTTAACCCCATCTATTTATTTTAAGAAAAATGATATTTAAATTTAATTTTCATATTATTCATCCAAAGATATTTTCTGATGTCCTTATCAATATTTTATAGTTATCTGTAAAATAGATTATTAGCTATATAGGTAAAAATTACTTGATTGTCATTTGATAATTAGATATACTGTAAATCTACGACATATAATATTCCACTGTTTGTATTGTGCTTTAATATTTTTTTAATTTATGATTTAATTTTATCAATAGTTTTAAAATTATATTTAACTTTTAAGATTAATAAATTAAAATTACTCACTTTATAAAAAATTATATTTGATATATTATATTATTTATTAATTTTATGGATCTATTATTAATAATTATAATACATTTCACTTCTGTCTTAAGACTTATCTTTGGCTTATATTCCATTTATTAAAAAACATTTTTAGTTCATTTTATATATTTATAAATTTATTTTCCCAAAAATCTATAAATTATGATGAATAGTTTTATAAAAAAATATCAACTTTTACATTCTTTCTTTTAAATTATTATTTAAGATATATGCATACATGTTTGAGGGTCAGGGAGTGGAAGGAGGACTAAGGGGGATATTTTTTATTAGCTAAAAATAATATTTACAAAAAGTGATAAATTTCTAAAGGGGGGGGGGAGGAAATTTCCCCTTGCCCCCCCCCTGGCTACGCCTATGTGTAATTGTTTATCTTTTCACTACTATCAATCCAAATTATTATGCCTGTTTTTTAGTCATAAATGAACTTACAAAAGACCCAGTTTTTGATATATAGGAGTTATAAACCACTATAAATCATAACAAATAAATTTATGCTTCAGAGACACTCAAAAGGTTATATATTCTAAGTGTATAATCTCATTGGTGTAATTATTACTGATAACATTTTGGTCTACCTCTCCCAGTTGGAAATGAAATATTCCGATACTACATAAATTATTCATGAGATACTGATAAAGCTCGCGATTATAATAATAATACTCAATTTGGACTATTTTAGTTTTATTAATTTATATAAAATATAAAAGCGGTTCATAAATTTATCCTAAATAATCGTTAATTTGAATTTAATATTTGGTTACATCCCCATTTTTAAAAAGGCCTTTATTAGACATTGAATTTATAAGATACCTTCATGATTCCCGTGTAATATAATTTCATTATAGCTTTCTTTAGATATATCCTAGTACTCGGATCAATTTTGAATGTTTTTTTCATGATATCAGAAAGTTTTTATTGGATTATAAGGAGTAGATCCTGATTATCAAAATTCCAAGTAGCTATATTTGAGTCGATTTACAGGATGTCATGATTTCCCGTTTGTTGAAATGCATTGTGTAATACAAATTTATTTGTCTCATTTTAATTTCATGAATCTATTTAATTTATAAGCCAAGTGGGTAAGCAAAATCGGTGGCGGGCTCGGCAACGGGGTAAAAATATACCTACAGCGGCGTGGTGAGATTAGTGGTTAAATATCAAATTTATTAGAAATTTTTAATAAAAATTATAATTTAATAATAATCATCTCTGTTAAATCAAAATTTATCATCGAATAAAAAAATGGTTGGGATATAAAGAAAAAATAAAAAATGATCAAAAATCTTTTGGATTTTATTTCCGGTCTGGAAAATGGGTTTCGACTAGGGTTCCCAGATATTTTTCCCTCAAAGGCGTGAGTTTTTCTTTTATAATAATTAATTGACATTTTGCCGACCTTAATCTTTTCTCTGCCTTCACTGGTATTATATAAACGTTGGCTGAAAATCCGAATCCAAACATTGGAAACAAAAGAATTCTACTTCTCCCTTTTAGAGACTCAATTATATTTTTCTAATTGTGCGCCTCCTTTTAAGCCTTTAGTATTTTACCTTGTTCTCAAAATATATATATCCACTATGGTAAGTGGATATTGGAACCATTATTTTTAATATACATATATTAACCGTAATCCATATTTCTATGACTTTTTAACCCTAACTCTTAGCTCGACCAAGAGGTTACGATAAATATTGATTTTACTGTGAATTAAACAAAAGGAAATATTAAAGCGAAGTAGTTGTGGCTCAATTAGCTAATTGTCTTAATTATGGATGATTTTAAGAGGGAAAATAAATTTCCATGTGCTATAGAAATAAGCTGAAAGCTTTTTGCACGAATAATTATAATTTTGCATAACCATAATTTGCTTGCAATACAGTGCAATATATTGCATTCTTTTCACCATGTAGTACACATTAGATTTAGATTAAACATATTCTCGCATGATATATTTGGGCGGAAATTGAGAATATAATAATGGACTTTAATAGGAAGGTTATTACTTGAAAGAAAATACATAATTTGGCTTCGTAAGTAAAAATGTGAATATTCGTTATTATAATTAATGATAATTTTTCCAATTTGTCGAGCGGTGGATTTTTTAAATACCATAGTGTTAAATCAACTAGATAAATATGTTTATGTTAAGTTTATCATTTAATAATTCAAATGTTAATAAATAAATGTGATTTGTTGATTAGACTATTTTTAAATAACGTGGCTAAAATGTGAGAAAAGATGTAATTTTTCAATTTGTTCTAAAAACATGAGAAGACGTGAGTCAAAAATTTGACACTAAATAGTAAGAATCACGGCCAATCGTGACATCTGACAACCCTAGATCCAGTTTCAATCTTGATTTTATAAAAAAAAATTGCTACCTAATAATAAATATAAACAATATTTGTCGAAGATGGGCAAATGTCGTACCTTATTATATTTAGTATAAAAATAAAACCTTATTTAATTTAGAATTTAAGGCTATTCAGTCAAAAGTAAGAAATGACCGATTGATCAGATTCCCTACTATTTTGAAAATTATATCTGAATTGAGCTATTTTTAAATATTATTAATTGAAAAAAAACTATCACCATTACATGTCAAATGAACAAGAAAATTGAGATTTTCGGCAGACCCCTTCAATTTCGATAATATTTATAGGGATATTATATCATAATGAAATAGTAGCTGAAAGATTGAAGGTACAAAAGTGGCCTTTTTACCCATTACCTATGTTAAATATATTAGTTTTAGTTCGAAAATTATTGAATCTAATATTAATAACTAAGCTAAAAAACATAATTATGTGGAAAATTTCAAGAATAAATTTTTTTAAAAATGGGACATCTTATAACCCGATGAAAATTTAAAATTAAAATTACAAAATGAATAAAAGCTCCTATATTTTTTAAATATTATTAGTTCACTATTTTTCTAATAATTTCTCAAATAATTAGTGATTGGGAAATTTTTTAAAAAAATATTGCGAATAGTATTAAAAGCGTATAGATAGCGTTAATATGAACGTTCCAATGCAAAGTAATATCATGCATATTGAATTTTTTTAAAATAATTTATAAATTCTAACTTCGGGTATGAGTGGTTAGAAACCATACCCGGTTCTAATCTTAGCCTCCTCAACAATTACGCCTACCCACAGCCCCCTGTTGCAGTTTTACCATCCATTTACGTCAATTGTGCCCATCGAATCGAATTCCTACCATTCATTGCTCTGCAAGTTCTCCTGCGGGCGTCAAACTCACCATAAATCTTAACAACATTCTCCCAAGTCCCAACAGCCCTCTAAAAAGTTAACATCCATCCCATCCGCTCTTGAACTACGGTAGTGGGCTTTTAAAATATGCTCTAGTTTTATCAGAAACAAAATTTTAGCTCATTAACAATTATGTGCTGAGATAATGAGTTATATATTTAAAATTCGATACCGATTTTAAATAATTAGTATCTAATTAAACTGATAAAATGGTCTTCCGCTGACCTGGCATTACACGTGCATCGACTTAGCACCGAGCTCTAACCTCTCATTCACAATCAAAAAGGTAGAAATCTTTATAAAGTTAATACACCGGCTTCAACAACACAGTTTTTATTTTCTACACTAACAGTATCACCCTAGGGATGTTCGGAAGGCTCTCAATCTTATCAAAACTATCGGCAAAAAAAGGTGACTCATTACAAATTCAATTTCATAAGCATTCACAGCTCCCTAGGATAACATGTTCTTTTTTTAAATGTTTTTATATTATATATATTATTTTTGAATAAATATTTTTTAATGACCCATATTTAAAAAAAATATATTCAGATGTTTATTATTGACTCACTTATTAATATTAGATTCAATATTTAAACTTTTTTTAAAATTGATATATTTTGTTTCATATGAGAGTAAAATTTATAATATAAATTTTTAAATAAAAAAAATGTTAAAATTAAAACTTATATATATGAGAATATTTATAAAAAACATTAGAAAACCATAATACTAATTTTAAAAAAAAAGAATATGTTATCGTAAAGAAAAGTAAATGCTTAAAAAATTAGATTAGCAGATTTCAATGGAAATCTCTTGGCGAAGAAAGAATCCCTCGTTTAAGTCACCAGTAATGAGTTTGCCGAGGAGATGAGTTTAAGTGCTTCATTTCTGAACAACCGAAAGAGGTTAGCGATTATGGCTATGAAAATAGTTATTAGACCGGGGTATTTATTTTTTAACAATTTTTACCTTTCGTTAGCAGAAAATGAGAAGTTAGACTTCGTTGCAAAGTCAATGCACGTGTAATCCCAAGTAGCGGAAGGCCATTTGACCAGTTTAATTAAATACTAATTATTTAATATCGGTACCAGATTTTTATATATTTAATCCTCATTATCACAGGAGCTAAAATTGTTTTTGATATATTAGAACGCTTACAGATATTTATCGAAATTGAAAGGAGTATACTGTGAGGTGTTTGATTTGACATTATATTAAGTGATTTAAAAAATGTGTCTAAGTTTAAAATGTTAGGCCAGAGCTAAATATAATCATTTAATTTCTAAATTAACCTGTTCTAGGCCAAAGTGAATTAAATTTTATTTTGTCCCTAAACTCTTCAGAAAATCCTAATGTTAATAAGGACATTGAATACTTTGATTGAGAATATGCTTGATATAAAATATAATAAAGTTACATGTTTTAAAGCCTTTATATAGGATTAGTAAATAATAAATTTAATAAAATCCAGCCAATTTGTATAAACGATATGGGTTATTGATTTAATGGCAACACCAGTTAATCTTGAGCCATTCATTTACAAAATCTATTTCTAATCTAAGTATAGATTCAACAGAGAAACATTTCGACATATTCATGATTAGTATTTTATTTTTTTTAAAAAAAGGACTAAATTTTCATTGAATTACTTGTTGGTTAAAACTAATGACAGCATTTCCTCTGACTTAGACGAATTCGGGACTTAATTTTAAAGTTTATTTCAGATCTGACAGGACTTTGACAAAATTTAATTTTATTTTCCTAATATTTTTTCAATTATATCACAAAATTGTTTAATATTCTTCAATGGTTATAATTTTTCCGATTTCTTTATATATGATACCTTTTAAACAGATTAATATAATAATAAACTAATCGAATCAAACCTATTTCTAAAATAAAAATTCTCGGATCGGGTGAGAAAAACCATAAATTTGTGACCAGACATCACAATGGCAATATTAATAAGACTATGTTATATATCAAAATTGACACCCTACCTATATTAAAAAACAAAAACTAGTATTCATGCCTGACCGGTTGAAGAGGTTTGCCAAAACAAACTCAACATTATAAAAAAAAGTTTTTTAATAAATATTCATGAGCAGGGTTGCCATGTCTCCCCCCATCAGTGGGAGTCTCCCACAATTTTTTAGTTTACCCACATACATCTTACTCCCTCAAAACTCCCACAATTAGAAATCTCCCACAAAAAGCTCCCACAATTTTTTAATTTCTCCCACAATTTTTTTTTTAACATTTTAATGTTTTTAATATATAAATAATAATTTTGAGAGAAAGTATTTGATTATTTTTATATTAAAATAAATTTTAAATATTTATTCAAAAAATATGTCTAGTTCTTTTATTTTATTTTTCCGCTCTAAAATATATTTTTTATAAAATTATCCACTCGACATTTTCAAAATTATCATGTAGTTCAACATTAACAGAGCTATCTGTCATCACACTGTGGGTCGAATCTTTTCCCTTAATATTTAACGACTCCAAAATAAGTGCTAACTTTACTTGAGGTAGGACAAAAATGAGCAAGGTTATCACAAATGTGTCAGGACCTTCCAAGAGGTCAATTCTAGACGATTTGAAAGAAGGACATCCATATGCTATTTTAACAGACGCATCAAATAAGAAAAATATTAAAACATTTCCCCTGATCCTTTGCTATTTCAATAAGAATAAGGGCATTTCTATAAAACTATTGAAATTTTTTTCATCCGATAGTGAAAAATCCAACGATATAGCTAACCACATAATGGTAAATTTAGCTGATTCAGGGTTATCAATAAGTTGCATGTCAGCTTTCTGCGCTGATAATGCCTCTGTTAATTTTGGCAAAAATCAAAGTGTATTTACCGAATTGAGGCAGCACAATAATGAATTAATACCAATTGGCTGTATATGCCATATACTGCATAATTCTTGCAAGAAGGCAATGAATGTACTATCTGTAGATGTCGAAGTAATTGTGATGAAATGTTTTAACGAATTTATTTCATCAGCTAAAAGAGTCACTGAATTAAAAGAATTGGTGGTCTGATTTGGAATGGTGTGAGTTGTTGCGATATGTACCTATCAGGTGGTTATCATTAATACCTGCCATCGAGAGAATTTTAAAATTTTACGAACCCTTAAAGAAATACTTCTTAAATAAAGATTTTAAAAGCTGTCCTAGAAAAATTTTTTCGAGGATGAAATGTCAGAAGCATATTTGGGATTAGTTTCACATGTAGGAAATCTACTTCATGTAGTTAATATTCAGTTGCAATCAGAAGATTCTTTATTGATAAAGATTCACAAAATCATGCTACAGCTCTGTTCATCTCTACAGTTAAAAATAGATAATAAATTTTATGGCGCTATTGCTAAAAATATCATATTAAAATGTTCAAATATTACTATAATTAACGTATTTTTAAATGAAGCAAATATTTTTATTAAGACAATTTTGGAATATTTACAATCAAGATTTGATTTGAATAACTCTATTTACAAGTGTATAAATATTATGACTTTGGAACAGAAACCATCATTTGATGGTTTTTGTAATTTAATAAATATATTAAAATTACCGCTAGACATTGAAGCCTTGTTTGAAGAGATTGTAATTTTTTCCATTTTTTATGATTCGCCAGAATACTTAAAATTAGATGGTCTAAAAGCAGAGGAGAAATGGGTGGAATTTTTTCGTAATAACGATAAATCCCCATGCTTGGAAAAAATTTGCGAGTATGTTTTCTCCTTACCTCATTCTAATGCCTCATCGGAGGCATTTTTAGCCTGATGAGGACTACCTGGAGAAAGGAGAGAAATCGAATTGCTTTAACAACATTAGAGGCCGAGTTAATGGTTAAACAAAATTATAAAATGTCATGCCAGGAGTTTTATAAATATCTTAATAACGACGGTAAACGTTTAGTTCCATTATTTAAATCTCAAATAAAATATAATTAACTATAACTATTTGACTTTCTGTATTTTATAAAATCTTATTTATACATTTGCATAAAATCAAATAAATTTATTTTTTACATTGTAAAATTAATATTTTGAATATTTTAGCAAATCATAAAAATAAAGAAGCATTACAATCTCCTCAAACATGACATCATATTAAATCTTATTAATAATTATCCGATAATAGTAATAATATTCTTACTTTAGTATTTCTGCAGCATAATTTAGTGAACCTTTATTAAATTATATTCTTCTGATTGCAACTGCATATTAACAGCATATAGTAGATTTCCTATATGTAAAATTCCTAAATATACTTGTGACATTTATTTTTGAAAATTTTTTTCAAAATATTATGACAGCTTTTATAATCTATTTATTTTTTAATGGTTTGTAAAATTTTAAAATTCTACGATGGCGCGTATTAGGAGGAACCTGTCAACCAACATTATGCTGACTCAATTCTGTAAATACACTCTGGTTTTTGCCAAATTCACTGAGGAATTATCAGATCAGAAAGCTGCCATGCAATTCATTGGTAATGTTAAATCTGCCATATTTACCATTATATATGGTTAGCTATCTTTGGATATTTCATATCTGGAGAAAATTTTTTTAATAGTTTTATTGAAATGACATTAATTTTGTTGAAATAGGGGAGGATCAAGGGAAATGTTTTAATATCTCCTTATTAGATGCATCTGTTAGAATTGCATATGTTTGCACATCTTTCAAAACGTCAAGAATTGACCTTCTGGATTTATATCCTAAAACATTGATGATAGCCTTGCTCATTTGTGTTCTACAAAGTATACTTTTCATTTATATTAGTCGTTAAATATTATGGGGAAAGATTCTACGAACATTGTGATGTTAAGTAGCTCTCTGAATGTTGTACTGCATGATAGGTATTTACCATTTCCGCAACTGTAGTTGCATCTGTATTATTTCTTATTTTTGAAGAATATTTTTGTTTTGCAATAGATGTTGATAGACTGCCCTGTACTGATTTATGCTTTGAAGATTTTTGATGCCTCAAAATATCATATTCCCTTCCCCCATTGTATTAACTAAATACTGTAGAACAACTTCCCCGCATTGATTATAATTATTTTTTACATTGTAAATTTAAAATTGTTTGTTTTTTTATAAAATCTTATTTATACATTAGCATAAAATATATTTTTTTACATTGTAAAATTACAATTTTTTTATAAAATTTTATCTTGTTTACATTCTTTTGTATTTAAAAAAGATCGTTGGTTATTATTTTTAAACAAAATTAATATATTATAATAAATCAATATGTTATTTTAATAATAAAGATAGTATTTAAGAAATTTTGTGTCGTACTATAATTACCTATTTTGAAAAATAGTTGCGTATTTTATTTTGGAAAATAGTTACCTATTTTATTTTGAAAAAGAGTTGGATATTTTATGAAAAATAGTTGGCTATTTTATTTTGAAAAGCTATTTTATTTTAAATAGTTGGCTATTTTATTTTGAAAAATAGTTGGCTATTTTATTTTGAAAAATAATTACCTATTTTATTTTGGAAAATAGATTCGATTTTATATTTATAAAAAATAATAAGCGGATAACTAAGTCAATTCTCCTTCGGCCCGCAAAATTTTTTTTTTTAGCAATTTTCATATTTCTCCCACAATTTTTATATTACTCCCACAAAATACCGAATTTCTCCCACAATTTGAGAATTTTGACCTGGCAACCCTGTTCATGAGTCCAGTCAGTGCATAAATTTGAAATTAATGCGTAGTATATTAAAATTGAAGTCTTAATATATTTTTAAATTCTATTTATTTCAAATAAATAAATTTTGAATTTGACTAAACTATGAATGCCGCACTCGATTTGAGCCGATAAAGACGGCTAACTCTATTTAGCCAGAATTGGCTAAGCCTCAAAATTCCGCTAATAGATGTCCAAACCTTTGTGCCATCCATGACCAAAATCTTCAGTCTTTTAATCGTTTTTAAAAATCGGCCCAAATCGAGCCATTTAACAACACTAGATCAAGTCATTAAAAATCAGACCATAAATTGAATAATGCAAAAGGTTATTAGGTTGAGTCTAGCTCGTTTTATTAAGTACAAACATGGAGTATAGTGGCCATTTATATTTAAAAAAATTGAAAGAAAAAAATGGCAGTTATCTTTTTATCAACCATTTCCGATTTTAGGTATAAAGCTAAATTTGCCATTTTAAATTTTATATCATAAAAGGGCTATTATAAAGCTATATAATAAAATTTAAATCATGATTTTATCTAAATTATTTTTTGAGAAAAATAAATGGGGTGTATTTTGGAATGCTTTCAATTATAAAGGTAGCCATGTTTCAGGAAGTAAACCGAGTTAGAAATTAAAATTTTATACCGTTATTAATTAATGCGTAGTGTGTATACTATCATTATAGAATTTTTTTTAAATATTGAAAGAGGTACAGTTGGATATTCAGTTGATTAGATATGGAATTCAACATAATGTAAATTAAATACAAAGTCCAAGTCAAGCATAACTTTGCAAATAAAATTTGCACTTTTAGCACGAGCATTTAATTAGGCATCAGCAGTTTAGTCAGCCGTATATATATAGTATAAGTTAATATAAATAACTAACAATCTTACCAACATAATTTTTGAACCATTTAGGATTGAAATTTAAAGGAGGGCTAATTGTCAAAACATTGCCTTGACTTTTCAATAAGTAAGGTAATGTGTATTTAATACTTAAAAATATATATTACATTATTTAATATTTTTATATTTACATTGAATATGTTCCTTTAAGGTTAAGGTCATGTATAAGATCAAACTTCTTTATTGAGATAGTTTCCATTTCTTTAAGCTCAATGGCACTAGCATTATTAATCACGATATTCAATCCTAAAATGATAATAAATTATGAGTTTCTTTTGTAAATTAAATAAACTTAAAACATTTTATAAAAATGAGTATATGGTTTAGTCTAACCATGGTAGTGGCTAGGGCTGGGAACCAATAGTAAAAACCCAATATTAACAAAATATTGTATTGGTATTGGGTCTAAAATATTGGTATTGGTTTAAACAATATTTTCTATTTCTTGTATTGGTATTGCTATTGGTTTATATTGGTATAGAAATAGTGATTATAAAACCCTTAATTTCTAATTTTAAATAAACATGGGAAAAAAAATCAAGATACCATAAAATCAGGGCTAAGAACCAACTCTCAAAATTTTACTGAATTCAAATTCTTTTTTTAAACTAGGAATTTATTAGGTGATGTGAATATAAAAAATTTTGATTTAATCATGTATTTTTTGTATCAACAATAATAAACGTATTGATTTTGAACCATTTTATTTATCACAAAGAACATAGCAAAATAAACTAAAAATGTAACATAACTGTCTATTTATACAAAATATAATGCAAAAGAATGATATAATTTTAATAAGAGGAAATAATTTTATGTATTTAGGAAGAATCTTGCATGCGCATCCAACTTTTTAGGCACAGGCAAGCTTGTATAGTATGCTCATCTAGTGAACAACGTTGGTCTGTTATAACATACCGTCTTTCTGAAAAAGCCCTTTAAGACTAGATGAGGTGGCCGGAATGCTATATAATCTCTGGCAATTTTATAATACTGGATATCTATTTTTATTTAATTTCCACCAATCTAATGGATTTGTATCATTGGAAATTGTGGCTTCATCTACGTATTTACTTATTTCTAAGTTGTTATTATTATGAGGTTTCACCTGATAAATTTTGTCATAAAAGGACAATTTTTTGTTATTTTGTGCTTCATTTGTAAGTTCCGCTGAATTGTTATTATTTATTTTATAAATATTGTATTCATTAGTAAGATATCCAATAAGAGTTTCCATATTATTATGCTTTAATAAATGACTTGATAGTTTAAATCTTGGGTTAATCATTGAAATAATAAAGAGGTGTTTATTAAAATTATAGTATAGTTTTGTTAAGGCAGCTAAAGAAGCTGTCTTTAAAATAGCATTAGGATTATTATTATAACTCTCCACATGCTCAAAAATACTGGAATATAAAGGAATAATTGTTGAAATTGTTGGAGTATTAGCACATGAGGTCATCTCTGTAGCAAAATTAAATGGTTCCAGAAATTCTTGGTATATTTCTATATTAATCCAGGCTAAGGCACTAATATAATTTTATTGATTGGTATTTTGTAAATGATTGGTATATGTTGTCAAATAGGGTTTGAGCAATATTGCTCTTTCAAGCATTTGGTATGTTGAATTCCAACATGTTGGTATATCCAAAATTGGGTGAGGAAATTTTAAGTGTGGATTTTTTTCAAGATATATTTTTTCGAGTTTATTAAATTTAGATATAGAAAGTTAAAAAATTTTTTATTTTTTTTTAAAGTTGTATTTAAGGGTTCCAATGCAGCCATGACAGCCAAATGTATAATATGGCAAAAGCATTTGCACACATTATCAAAATTATCTTTTTGTTTTAAAATTTTTAGAAATGCTAAATCATTGTCTAATGTAATGCAAAAAAAATCAATTTCAAATTTTACTTTTAATACAGAATTAAAAATATTAATAGAATTATGTGCTGATTTAAAAGGAATAAAATCTAATAAATGATTATTTAATTTAAAATCATTATAAATATAATGAATGTTATGCCCATAAAGGGTATTTTATTTGGAGAGGACCAAATGTCCATTGTTAAAGAAAATTTAGATGTAATGTTAGAAAGTACAGATTTTAAATTGATAAAAGAACTATGATAATGTTTCATAATTTCTATTTTTAGTGTTTTTCTAGAAACTAATGTTAGTGAAGGGTTACAATATGCTATTAAATTTTTAAAAGTGATATCCTCAACTATTGAAAAGGCTAAATTATTTTGAATGAAAAAGTTTATAATTAAATTAGCTTTATTATTTATATTATTAAGTAAAAATGATTTTATTGTCTTAATTTTTTAATGCCAATATTTATTTGCTCACATTTCTTATATAATGTTGGGTGGATGGATTTAAGATGTGTCCATAATCCTGAGGTTCCAAAATTGGGAAGTGATATTTTTTTTAACATTTATTACAAATTGCCTTTTTTTTATTATCACAAGTAGTATAAAATTCCCAGATTTTTGCTGAATTTCGTCTTTTATTAGATATTGATAATTCTTCTTGTTCATTATCGCTATTATTATTAGTACCAACAGCATCTATATTTATTAACTCTATTTGGTCTTCATTTATTATAATATCCTAAATAAATAGATAAAATTGATAGATATCATGTAAAAAATTTACTTCCATAATAAAAATAAACTATAATTATAAATAACAGAAATATTGATATCACAGTAGTATTTGGAAGAAATAACAGATGTAATCAGTTTTTGCAATGTAAAAAAATACCACCATATAATTATCCACGATAAACCCAAATAATTATGTTATTTTTAATATTGGGATTGGTTAAAATTGTATTTAAACAATATATCAAAACCAATATATTTAGGTAATTGGTATTGGTTGTAAAAGCAATACCAATATTTAAATATATATTGGTTTATATTGGTATTGGTATTGTAAACCAATATTATATTGGTATTGGTCCCACCCCTAACTAGTGGCATAAATAAGAGCGGGGGAAGGAGACTTTATATACTGAAATTTATCATTATAAATATGATTATCAGGAGTAATACTCGATGAAAATTTGCTAAAAATTTTTCTAAAAGGTTCAAGGAACTTAGTTTGAAATATCAAAACGATTTTAATATTACGGTTCTTTACAAATCATATTGGTTCTTTTCTGTTCATTCCGGTTATATTAAGTTTTGAATTTTTTTTTAATCATTTGTATATATAATTTTGTGGACATCTAATAAATGTATTTTAATTTTTTTCTAAAATAAACCAAATTAAAATTAAAGAAAATAAGTTGAATTTCTTAATTTTATTTGAATATATGCATAAAGTCATTTCCAAACAAATTTTTCGAAGCGAGAAAAAAACAAATACAGTCTAATAAATTTATCCTTTCAAACACAACATGTTTTTTGGGAAAAGATTTTGCGTTTTCCAAATATCAAACTATTTAGGAAAGATGGGTTTGACATGATTGAATGAGCAAGTTGTTTTTTAATATTACATTTAGTGCTATAAAGTAACGTCGTTACCTATTTTGACGAAAAGAAACGCCATTCGTTACCTTCTTCTAGAGGTAAAGAGTAACGGTAATGCGTTTCCTTTTTTAAGTAAGATAACCCAAAATGTTACTCGTTCCTTAAATTTTTTCTTAAAAGATATTAAAAAAAATAACCCAAGCCGCTATTATAAAATTAAATTATGGCCATTCTTTCAATTTTTTAAGCATCTAATAAAAAAAATTCAGCTTTAAACCTCTACAAAAAGTTTTATAAATTAGGAAATTACTATATTAAACAAAATATTTATGAAAAAAATATAAATATAAAATTGATAATATGTAATTATAATGCAAAAAAATAATGAATCAACATTTTCTGGATTCAAATACGTTCTTCTTTGTTCTAAAAACCTTCCAATGCTAAATCCTCATTCAGAAGAAGCTGCAGTAATTGCCAATTTTTTCTTGCTAATCTTGATAGCTTTGGCATATCTCTTTCTTGTCGTTTCCACCAAAGTAGTTTTAAATATACAAAAAAGTTTATTTATTTTAAGAAAATTTTATTATAATCACCTTATAATGAACCATCTTTCTTTTTTTAAAGATTTTGTCATCAACCAGCTGGCATTCCGTTAATCGATTAGATCGAAGGGTCCCCGATATGATAAAGCTAAATTTTATGATTTTTATATCGGGGAACAGTTTAGTTGAATAATAATATCTCCGCTAATTTTATATTTGTGGATTTTCCTAAATATATCTCGAAATTATATAGCATTCCAGATGATCCACATAAGGTGATAATTTAAATTCCCCATTTATGCGGTTTTGGGCGATATATTGCTTAAATTCACATCGTCCTCTGGAGAGGACTATCATTTCGTCGATGGATAATTTCTCCTCCAATTTAATTTTTCTCAAGTTCACTATAAATGGTCTTAGTTTGAAAAGTTTATCGTGTCATGAGTAAGTCAATTATTCGGAAAAGAAAGGCGTCAATACATATTTAATGATTTTTGAAAATAATAATGAGTCTTGTATATATATATATATATATATCTTCGAGTTTATTATAATAATCAAATTTAGCAAAATCATCATGAAAGTGTATTTAGATTTTTTTTGATATTTTATTTTTAGATATAATAATTAAATTTAGCGAAATCATTATGAAAATGTATTTAAATTTTTTTTTATATTTTATTTTTAGATATTTAAAAATTAGAATTTTAATTCATATATATTTTTTTTCAATTCATTTTTTTTGGTGTTCACGAAATTATAATTCGCTTTAAATTTTATAATATTGTGTTAAATAATATTTGAAGATATGATTAAAATTAGTATAATTTTGGGTTAAATCCGATTTTGAAGCTATCGATAGAACTAAAAGTAATCCAAGTAAGCGGACAACGTGATAGTTGGTGCCGTGACCAAACCGAAAACAAAAAGAGAAGAGCACTGTGGTTACTGGAAGTTGTAGTAGAAGAAATCCCTGGACCACGACCTTCTGCGCCTCGTCTTCTTTTCACCCCCTTCTCGACTCCCTGCACTTGCTCATATGTTGCTCTCGGACATCACCTTCGAATATGCCCCGGTTTGCGACAGGGGATGACTATATGGTTGTGGGGAAAAGAGAATACAGGCCAAGGAGGGAAGAACAGAGGGGCGAGAGATGGTTATGATAATGTTGCGGGAGGAGGGTAGAGAGGAACAGGTATATTTTCCGAGTCCGAAAGTG